CAGGAAAAGACAACTCAAAAATAACAGCAAAATTGCTCCTCACTTCCCCACTGAGACAGGTTACTAGCAGGAGCACTTTGGGGTTTATATATAATTCCTCCACAGCTTCACTGCCAGGCAACAAACACATGGGACCAGGATGGCCACAGGAGGGTTTGGAGTTTTCTGGGACCAGGATGGGCACAGGAGGGTTTGGGGTTTTCTTCACACAGGCTGGCAATGGGTTAAACACATAAAAAGACCCAGGCACTACAGTACCAGAGGTGCCCATGTCTCTGCAAACTGCCACCAAAAATTCCCCTCCCTGTTCCTCTGTCATCCCATCTTTAAGCGGATCTGGTTTACCCACTTGCATGGCCCTACCCAGGACGCATTTTTGGAGTTCCTTCACCATGGAGACCTCCCCCCCAAAAACAGCTGAAGCCATGGAGGGCACCTGGCAGGCAGGAGACCTTCTTCAAATCTTCTGAAGCTGGCGTGGCTGCCTCTCCAGCGAGCAGCCCTGGGGACAGTATGGCCCTAGCTGGCCTGTTTGTACAAACTGGAAGTTTCCTCTAGAAAGATCAGTGGCTTCAAGTCCATGAACAAAATCAAAGAAGGCTGTGAAAGCATCTCTGCTTGGACATCTCGCTAAACCAGGTGGTCTACTGGCAGAATCATAGAATAACTTAGGTTGGAAAAGACCTTTCAGATCATCAAGTCCAACTGTAAACCTAACACTGCCAGCTCTACCACTAAATCACATCCCTAAGTGACACATCTACACATCTTTTAAATACCTCCAGGGATGGTGACTCAACCATTTACCTTTCAGTGATGAAATCTTTCCTAATATCCAATCTAAACCTCCCCTGGCACAACTTGAGGCCGTTTCCTCTCATCCTGTCACTTGTTACTTGGGAGAAGAGATTGACACCCACCTTGCTACAACCTCCTTTCAGGTAGTTGTAGAGTACAAGAAGGTCTCCCCTCAGCCTCCTTTTCTCCAGGCTAAACAACCCCAGTTCCCTCATCTGCTCCTCATAAGACTTCTAGACCCTTCACCAGTTTTGTTGCCCTTTGGACATGCTCCAGCACCTCAATGTCTTTCGTGTAGTGATGGGCCCAAAACTGAACCCAGTATTCGAGGTGTGGCCTCACCAGTGCCAAGTAAAAGGAGACAATCACTTCCCTGGTCCTGCTGGCCACACTATTTCTGATACAAGCCAGGATGCTGTTGGCCTTCTTGGCCACACTGGGCACACATATTCATCCGACTGTCAGCCAACACCCCCAGGTCCTTTTCCACCAGGCAGCTTTCCAGCTATTCTTCCCTATTTAATGGTTTCTCTATTTAATGGTTTGCCATGACAGAGGTTTAGCATGTCTAGCCAATACCAAAAAAAGGCTCATGACCAAAAGCCCCCAGATAAATCCGGTGCCCATCTCCAGCAGTCACTGCTGGACAGATGAGCAGCTTCTGAAAATCCTGTTTTTTGTTACCTACTTGCCCCCATTTTTTTTACAGGACACCTGATGGAGGTGATTCCAGTGACAGAAAGAACACCCAAAGGTGGGTGTTGCAGCAACTCTGAAGCCCTTTGATGAAAGAAATCCTCAAATTTCTGGATGTGTATCTTTTCCCCTTCCAGTTGTTGCCTGCTGTATCTCATGCATGTTACTTTTTCAGGACAGGGCCTAGTGCAGCGCTCAGCATAACCACCTAACGAGACCCATCTTTACTACTACAACACAAACAGAAACTTGCAAAAAGGTGCTCCGAAGTGATCCAACCACACAAAAATAAAAAGCAGAACTTTAAATTCCACTCCTCCCCCAATTGTGTTTACAGATGCGGAACAATAGCATTGCAAGACATCAGTGCAGGGGTTAAATCTTCACCTAGAATGAGATTCATGAAGAAGCTGAAGTCAAAATTGTCTTTGGAGCAGATTCACAACTTGGGCAGTCAATCTAAAGGCACTTTCAAACATTATTGTCAAAATCCTTATCTAGGAAAAATCATTAGCTTCATACTGCACTGCTGTCAATGTAACGCTCAAAACAACAATTCATTTTAAATGGGTATCTTAGTATCGCAAGCAGAACGACAGTTATTACAGGCCAGAGACACTTGGTTCATATCCCACATCATTTTTGGCCACCAAGGCCGGCACTGTGGAAACAGTCTGCCCTCAAAAGGCCAAATATCAAAAGTGCACCGAGCAGAGCCAGAGGGCTGCAGCTCGAAGCCCTTGAGCACAGCCGCAGCTCTCCCCTGCATTCCCTTCCCATCTGATTTACCATCACTTTCACTCTGATGCAAGGCTAGCAGTACCCATCAAGAGCAGACAGTCAAGGGAATATCAGAAAATCACTGTATCAGGCTGCGGACAGCCTAGTCATCCACTCCCCTAGTGAGTCAGTTATTTAGCTTTAAAAACAAACATATTAAAACAGCAGAGGAACAAAGGACAGACTTCTCCATTTCCAGGACTCCTGCTGCTTATCTGCATCACAGAGGTTCCTATCGTCACCCCAGATGCACGCAGGGAGGTGACAAAGTGTGCAACAGGAATGACAGATGGACACGGACACAAGCACGGTTCTCACGAAGGATCTTGAAGCAATTACTTATGGAGGTGGCTCAAACAAGTGTGTAAAGCCTCACACCCTAGCTATTACTTCTTGTATTTTCTATTGTAAAGAAAGCACACTTTTTTTTTTTGCTATATGCTAGACTCCACAGTTACTTCAGATGAGGAAACCAGCAGAAGACAAGCAGGTGAATGTACTCTTTGGCATCTAGTAGCTCTGGGAGGGGTTTCACCATTCACCACCACCTGCTGCCACCCTCCAAGGGGAGCTGAGGAACACCAACCATGCCCAAACAGAGCTGAAAATTATAGAGGGAGTCTAGTCTGCGTGGTAAGCCACCACAATTACGGTAACTGGGGCTTGCAGGAATTCAAGGGGGGCACATAAGGGCTGAGGAGGGGCTGAGTTAGGGAGCGGCCCGTCTCCATAGCAGGGCTCCCCAGGAGAGTCACATTCGGCTCTTCTGCTGTTGTCGTAGTGGCACGCTGTCAGCAGAGAGGGAAGATACCTGGAGTTCCTCGCACGCAGCTGGTGCTGTCCCAAAACAGGTTTTCCACTAGGGATGGACACGTGTCTGTTGCAGCGAGATCCGTTCCAGCTGTCCGGAGGTGTGAGCGCTGCAGGAGAGATCTGCCACCTCTCAGCTGGAAGGATCAAGAGGAAAAGGAAGGTGGAAAGCTGTACCAAAAAAACCCCAAACAATTCAAATAATGGGGAAAAGAGAAAGACAATGTAAAGAGGAATGAGCAGGTACCTCTTCCAAAGAGTGACACCATCGCAGTACCAAAAGGCTGCCTGGACTCCAGTGAAGCACACACAAGCCCATCAAGAGGCAGATGAAGTATCTGGCACTTTGTTATTCCAGGCAACACACACTGACATCTCCCACGTTCTGCAAAGGGAGAGGTGGCTTGTTGTTTTGCGATTGACTGGTTTTTGTTTCATTTGATAGGATTAACAACCAAAATTGGGGGCTAAAATGGAAATGAGCAAACATTTTGTCAGGATTTCACCCAATTTCTCTCTAATTTATGTGGGCAGCAAGCTTTTATGGTGTCCTTATCTAGTCACGTTTCTCCAGTTTTAAATGTCTGGATTTTGTAAATATGTTCTTGGCAAACATAAAGGTGTCATGGGAACCATAACTGCTTTATAAAGTGATCTACTTTTGGATACTGCAACTGAACTGAGATGATGGAAACTATACAGTTTTTAGAATATCCAGCTGATGATTCACAACACCCAAATAATGTTCCTGATTCATCCTTTATGAAAACAGCCCAATTCAGCCTGGCACTACATGACCCTTCTCAGAAACTATTAACTCTCACGTTAAAACTACTGAAGGTGTTTTTTATGGCACAACTCCAAATTTATATAGGTTCTTACCATTAAAAAAAAAAATCTAAACATTTCCAGTTTTTACTCTTTCTTTCCAGGTGAAAAATCTGAGAGGATACAAGTAACACTAATTTATGTCTGAAATTCAAGATGTATACACAAATAAAGTACAAAACGAATGAAAAAAAAAAAAAAATCATTAACTGTCCCAAGCAGACGCAAATCTGAGCAACTTCAGTTGCTGCCAAATCAGAACTGAAAATGCATTTTTAGTCAATCTTCTGCTTTCATGCAGAAGTTTTGTTGTGAAGTTTATAGACCAAAGACACTGACACCAGGCAAAAAGCCAGTGAGTAACTACTACAAAGGAAAAGCAAGAAGTGCTCACCTCTCAAATCAAACAATAATATGCAAGAAAACACATTTATCCAAAATTAGTGGTAAAAGTGAAATATTAAGTTTACATTAATTTATGAAGAACCAGACTACGCCGGTAGTAACTTGTGTAAACGATGCTTGTCTTGGTTTTTTGTTTGGTTTTTTTTTTTTTTTTAATGAAAAATTACACATGAATGGAAGACACCCGCTGCAAATGGCAACAGTTGACAGCTACTGATATGCTGAGGTATCCAAAGCACACAAGGTCAGGAGAGGCAAGAGACAATCTGGTTTGGTTAACACAACTAAGTAAAGACTAGAAGGGATTTAGATTATGTTTTACAGGTCTCTAATAAAAGAGTGTTAAATTAAATATTTCTAAATTAATTAAAAAAAAAATCCCAGGAAGTACCATTGCTTCTACAGCATCATACTGAAAGACATTTGCAGGCGGAATTACATTTAAACATGTTCCAGTTATACTCCCAAGGTGTCTACTGTCTATTTTTATAATATTCCTAGAAGGGATTCCATACAAATCCCAAGTCTGACGTCTCGCTTGGAAAATAGCACAAAGCCTTTTCTGGAGGTCCAGTAATCTATTCATGCCAGAAAGGGGTCATTTTCATTTCCCACATCTAAGTACTGCAGCAAACCATGTGTGTGCATCATATTACACGAGAATGACCGTTATTCCAAACCCATCAGCTTCCAAATGTTTATTGTTTTCACAATACAAAAAAGAACAACCCAGAGCCCTTGTCTTTGTGTTTGCCTTCAGCTCCCCTTTCAAAGTACAAAACCCCAAATAATCTTCCCGAACAAGTATTCAGCCAGCTTTCCCCTCTCTAGCTGCTATTTCTTTTTCCTGCAGTAGCTCTTCTTCCTTCTTCTTGTGAAGCTTTAGAAGATATTCATCAGGCTCAATTCCTGCTTCCCTTAACTCTGACATGGCTTTCTCCAACCGATGCAATGTACGGGCACTCTGCACTTTTCGAGCTGTGATGTACAACGTAAATTCCTCGAAGCCCATCAGTTTACAGGTATCCAACTCGCAGATATTTTTAACATCTTTGGTTTTGTCCACCTGAGGGAAGAAAACTAAGCCTGACATTTTTTCCAGATCTTCAATATTTACTTGGAACTCAGTCAGCTGGTGACTGAAGCCTATGGGATCATTTGGCACCACAAAAGCCCCCAGGGCCAAGGGCTCTGTAGATGTTCTGCTCCGTCTGGCAAGGACCACCTTGTACAGGTGGGATGGCACAGCTACATCATCCTTCCCAATTACCTGTCAAAAGGAAAGCTATGTTACAGATACAGATCTTATCAGTCAAGGGGGGAGAAAAAAAAACAGACGTGACTAATCCTACTACCTCTAAAAAGGAGCCATAGCATGTAACTACCCATCAAAATCATGTGCAACGTTATCAGGCTAGAAGCTGAGGTGGAAAGCACCCGTGACCAGGTCCAGCTGGGATGGAGTTAATTCTCCCCACAGCCCTCATAGTGCCGTGCTTTGTACCGGTAGCTGGAAAGGTGCTGGTTAAACCCCAGAGTTCTGGCTGCCGCTGAGCAGCGCTCGCACAGCACCAAGGCTGTCTCTCCAACACTCGCCCCTTACCAGTAGGCTCTGGGGGTGGGTAAGATCCTGGGAGGGAACATAGCCAGGATGGCTCACCCGAACTGCCCAAAGGGATATTCCATACCATAGGACATCAACTCAGCAATAAAAGCTCAGAGAAAAGAAGTGGGGGGGCATTTGTCCTTATGACGTTTGTCTTCCAGAGCAACCGCTACACGTCCCCGGAAGCGGCTGGACATCGCCTGCTGATGGGAATAAATCTTTTCCTTTGCTTACGCACACAGCCTTTGCTTTTGCTTTATTAAGCTGCCTTTATCTTGACCCATGAGTTTTTTCCATCTTCTTTTCTCCCCTTCCTATCCTGCTGAGGAGGGGTGTCATAGAGCAGCTTGGTGGGCACCTGGTGTCCAGCCAAGGTCAACCGACCGCAGCACTATTTCACTGCAGCTCCTGATACAGCTGGTCAGGAATGAGCTAGTTACTTCATGCCCAACTCTCTCTCTCAAACAGGAAAAGCCAGCAAAGAGCACTCTGCTGCAGGTTTATTCGGCCACTGTTGGTACGAGTCTTTCCCAAAAGGTTCTCTGCCTTTCTCCTATATTATATCACTGACACTATATTATAATGTTAAGAACAACAATGCAGACAAATGGCTGAAAGATTGATCAGTAATTGCCTAAATATTTGTAAAGATCTGCAACAAGGAGCTCTGGTAGGAGCATGAGCTCAATTTAAATTTCCCAAGCAGATGCAACTTCAGTTATGGCTGAAACTGAACTGGAACCAGATCTGAAAACCACATTTGGCAACAGGGAGTTGGACAAGACCCCAGCTCCCTAATCCTGGTGCAGATCTGCAAGTGCAGCCGACCTGATGGGGCTGTAGAGCTCCTTTCTCATACTGTGCCACGCTGTTAATGCTCGGAAAGCTGTTTTCAGCAACAGTGGCTTCATACCAAGTTCCTGACCTGTTAGTTCCAAATCATGTGGTTTTTACCATGCATTTGAAATCAACTCTAACTCACCTTCTGTCACTTATTTTTTGTATCTCTATTACCCTTACACAGGTTGCATTTAAAAGCTATGCTACCCAAGTAAGCGGTTTTTTTGAGGGGACCTGGATGTAAAATACATACAGTGACTCAGTGTCTTGGAATCGAAGTCTATCCAAAGAAAATGCACCCATTTCTTACATAAATTCACTATGATTCCAATTAAGAGCTTGTACATACTAGGTTTCCTGCTGTATAAATCCAGGAATTTAACTGAAGCACTAGGAGGGAAGGATCAGGACTCTGAATTCACATGAAATCTGTTAAAAGCTCACACACTTATGTATATAGTGGACTGTGTCAGGAGTAAGTGCAAGGGAATACACCTATTGATGATAAATGTAATCTCTCCAGTATTCAAAAACTGATGTGCATGCATGCACTGTATTGTGCTTTTATTTTTCTTCAGTGTTGCTGAACTGAATCTGCCAGACTAACGAAGTTTAACAGGCTCATACATGGAAAATCTGATTTTTGCATAACCCTTCTGCATAACTACCCTTCTAAAATTTGTACTTTTATTCTAATGGCAACAGAAGGAAGAGATGCAGACACCTTACGAAAACTACAAAGGCATCCTTTTTCTTTACATAAAATCCAGTAATTTGGTACAATTTCCAATATTTGCAATACCTGAAAAAGCAAAGACTGCTTGTTTTGATTTTTTGACAGCTTTTGTTAGATACAGTTTAAATACAATTTCAGAGAAAGCAGGTGTTTATTTCACTGCCACAACCGATCACATTAATTGAAAGTATTTTACAAAGTAATCCAGTATATATGTTCAGACATGCTTTGTCCATTTATATATTCATTACAACTCAATCACAAAACAAACACCTCCTATGTATGCTTTATTCTGAGTCTACAGCACTTCTGCAAAAGAAAACATATTTTTAAAACTAAAGTTTGCCTGTGGCTACTGAACCAAGGTTCACATCAGTCTATTCCAATACTTAACTCATTTCAGTTATTAATTATTTCAGTGTTTGAAGTGTGTCTTCTACCTCTCTTGGCAGTTTTTTAAATGACTGGTCTTTAAGTCCTACTGGCTAGACCAAAACCAGAGAAAGTACCTTTAGGAGAAAGGGAAACCTCTGATAAAGTTTTTTCATGTTTTGTACAATGATGTGGTAGTAATGTTACTACTGTCTCTGGCAAACAAATGCTCTTAGGTTTCTTTACTCTGTTACAGAATATTTTCATCCTCTTCCCTAAACTAAGCTATTTAACAGTTTTGCTGTAGCTTAAACTTTTTTTGTTGTGGGGTTGGTTTTTTTTTTTTTACAAAAATTATCTTGTTTATGCCACCAACCTTCTTCTAAATAAAGCTCTGCCTAGACATCTAACAGTCATTGAAACTGGTAAGCAATAAATAAATGCCTTATGCTAAATCTACTTTCCCTTTCAATGACGACAGATGTCTTGATAGGGAAATTAGAAATCCTGAGTGTCAAAGCACTTTGCATTTAGCATTCAGTGTGGGTGAAACCGGAGTTACAGCTCCTCAGGATCAACGGCATAAATAATCAAAACTGAATGACGCACAGGTAATTTTAAAATATACTAAGAGCTACGCATCAACACACTGTTGTATCTGGTGGGTTAAAACTGAGTTACAAAATGAATGGTGTTGGGAGTTGCTGTTTTAGGTAGGTGGCACTCAACATGCAATGCATCAGGGGTGGGAGGGAGGGAGCCAAGAAGCATGAAAAGCCCTGAGGGAGGAGAGGAGAGAGTTCACATTTCCATATCCACCCAAGTGCAGGCAGCGACTGAATCTGCTGAAGGCAGAAGGCTGGAGTTCCTCTTCTCCCCCTGGAGCTCCATCCCACCTCTTGCACGCTCTCCGGGCAGATCAGAAGAGAAGGAAGAGGCTGTGCAGAACTGCACCACACTCTGAAGCTGCTGTAGCCTCCAGAGAGAAGGTGGTAGTGAGCTGAAACCCTGCTCCCCAGATTCATGCTGGGCCAACGACCTCCTGACCAGCAGCATTCCTGTGCACCCTGGCCTGCACTGCCCTTTCCAGGCCTCTTCACATACTTTTTTCCACGTTGTATATATGTATTAAGCCCTCCTTAGCTCAGCTCCCTCCCCTTCTCGACACCTCCCACGCACATACGCGCACCAGCATCCTCTGTCTGTTGTATAAAAGACTAGAGGAAGGGTGAACACGCAGATAGAGCTGCTACAAGTATCTCCAATTAGGGGGTATATGGTGTATGTCAAACAAACACGTGAATGCGTGTTGAGCGAGCTAGCAGAGGGAACAGGGGATTGAGACTGAGGACTGAGCAGGTGGATAGAAAGGCTGGGGAATGAATAGAGCTGCACATAGGTATGAAATGGAAATGCTGAATGCCAGAAGTGGGTGTTAAAGGAAAACAGACCCTGTACTTATGTAATATTATGCAAATATGTATATTCTATGCAAAATAATGCACATTTATGCATAGTATATGCACGTATAAAAGAGGGAAGGAAAGAAGGAAAGAGAGGACTAGTTGAAAATGAAGGAAGGGTTGGCCTTTTGATAAATGTAGTTCTAAATACAACTCAACTCCATACAAGGAATGGCCATACATGCAATTTATGTACCACCTCAGCTCCACATAAGATTTTATTTAAACCCTCAAAAGGGAGCTAGGTAGTGCACAGGCTCTATTCTAGTCCTGTGAATAGCAGCAAACTACTTCTGTAATTACTGCACTGGATGCTAATACTGTTAAAGTGATTAAAACAAACTTCAGCCAACAAAACGGCCAGAGTCCACAAGTGTCCTTTCCTTACACAAAACAAGCCATACAAGTTCTATCCCCAGCTCATTCTGCTGGAAGAGAATACCATCAGCGTGCCTGATTTCTCAAGTATTCATGACAATGAATACATATGTTTTTTTCTGCAGTTTAATGCCTATGTGAACCATGCATAGGCTGCATCACCAATAATTTATGTAGCCAGTGTGACCCAATGATTTTTGTTAAAAAAGGAAATGCAGTTCTGGAGCACACCCTACGATTTCCATCATTATGCTCTGTAATATACCACAATTTGCTTTTTTACTGGAGTAGATACTGAAGCTGCAGATGAATGTTTCCATGGAGTTGGCCCACTGGCACTGCCAGGGAAAAAGTGTGATTCTGTAGAAGTGAAGTTTGCAACAGAAGTAATAGGTAGGAAAAACAACCTCAACAATTCATTTCCTATTGCCACCTAGAGGATTTTCCTACCGAACTACAGGAGTCTGAATCGTTATTCTGATCTGCACCATCCCATTTATCTCAATGCATGCCTAAGAGAGGCAGATAGCATATGCTCCTATTGTAACAGAACGGAAAATGGGTTAAGATTATCCATGCACAGATGCTGACTTTGATTTGTGCTAGTCTATCCACAGGCAGCAGATGATCTTTCAGCAATCAATGCCTGAAACAGCTATCTGTCCCAGCTGGAGAAGAGCAACAGTTTTTAATAGCGTCTGTGATTAAAAAAATCTCATGCACTAATACAAGCAAGAAAAATACAGCAATGGCCTGTTGAAAAATCACTGCTGTCCCACATGCCTTCACACCATGTTGATGACCAGCCACAAGGTAAATTTTTGTGTAATCCTTTGAAAAGTTCAAATTTGCTATTCTTGTAAAATTTTGCTTAA